GGACTTTTACAAGACTCAGTGTCGTCAATGTTTGTGAAGAATAACATTAAGTTTGGAGAGATGTTTGTTTAATTTGAATGCGGCAGAAATAGAATTAGATAAAAAAAAAATGGAGAGAAATTAGTACAATAAAAGCGTTGGTGTCAATAAGATTAAAATTCGTACATTTTTTATAGAGAAATTCAACATTTCCAATGTTCGAGAGTCACTCAAATTAGAGTGTTACTGTTAAAAAAGGCTATGATTAATGAGGTGGGAAATATGAAGGAAAGAAAAGGTCACTTGAAGAAGGTAAGACTCTAGTTTAGAGAGTTGTTGTCAAAATGTTTATGATGAATGAGGTGTGAGATATGAATGAAATAGGACATGGGGGAAGTGAAAATTATGAGGATTATGAGGATAAATATTGATTGACTCTTGACTTGAAGAGATTAAGATTGTCATGTAAAGGTTTACTGTTAAGATAGTTGTGATGAAGGAGGTGTGTGATATGAATGAAAGAGGAGGAGGTAGGAAGTGAAGATTATGAGGATAAGGAGGATAGATATTGATTGACCCTTGACTTGAAGAGGTTAAGATTGTAGTGAAGAGGGTTACTGTTAAAATGGTTATGATGAATGAAGTTTATGATATGAATGAAAAAGACAATGGTTTGGTTTGCTTTGTTGTACGTCATATCAATCTCAATGGGTTATTTAATGCCGACAACATTTTTATTGTTGGTAATATTTATTTTTTTCAAAAATGTATTGCTGGCAATATTTTTTTTCCTTCAAATAAATCTATTTCTGGTAATTCCTTTTATTTTTTTTTTTGGTATTTTTTTTTCAAAAATGTATTTCTGGTAATAATTCATTATTCAAAAAATGTATTCCTGGTAATATTTTTTTTTCGTTCAAATAAAACTATTTCTGGTAATATTTTTCTTCAAAGTTTTTTCTGGTCATATTTTTTTTTTCAAAAAGATATTGCTGACAATAATTTTTTCTTCAAAAATTTATTGAAGGTAAGTATTTTTTTAACAAATCATTTCTGATATTAAAACCTATTTTTACACTTTCATAGGGTTCTGACCCCAGTTTGGGGGTTAACTATTTACCCATAGCTGCGACCTCAACAGGTACTACCACCCTGGTCAGAGTGGATATGGGAACATCAGCAATTAAGAAGTGATTCCACGCTCCTCAAAACCACCCGATCAGAGGCCTTGCTGTTGGACGTAGTTTATCGACTTACCCCGAACGCAGACGTAGTTTATTGTCCTACCCCGAACGCGGATGTAGTTTATTGTTCTACCCCGAAAGACGGATGTAGTTAATCGTGTTACCCCAGACGCGGATGTAGTTTATTGTCTTACCCAGGACGCGATGTAGTTTATCTTCTCAACCCGGATGCGGATGTAATTTATCGTCTTTCCCAGAACGCGGACAAAGTTTATTGTCTTACCCAGGATGCGGACGTAGCTTATCGTCCTACCCCGGACGCGGATGTAGTTTATTGTCTTACCCAGGACGCGGACCTAGTTCATCGTCTTCCACGGGCGTAGTTTATCTTCTTTCCCTGGACGGACAGAAAATGGTAGGAAGTAAGGAATATGAAGACAAAGAGAACAGACAATGATTGGCCTTTGAAGTCTTTAATATTGTAATTTTTTAGGGAGTGTCCATGTAGGTGTTAGCCCCATAAAATAGAAATTCGTGGGGAAAATCACTCTGAGTTGAGGTTCCTCCTTTAATTTTGAAATACAGAAAATATGAGCGTTTTATTTCATTTCGCGGAAGCATCATCGTCTGTCCAAGCTGTAAATGTCTGAAATGGTGAAATAAAGAATGGAACTGAACATGTTCCCATGAAAATATTGGCAGAAAAGCGATGGAATTGCGATGTTATGTCTGGGAATAAGACGCTGTAGGACAGAAAATAAATCGAACTCAGAAGACTACGTAAAAAAAAAAAATAAAGTCTATAAAGCTTGGAAAGTAAAAATTCGACAGAACGATAAAGCATGCTAGAAGAAATCAGATATTTCCGATCAAAAAGAATAATCTATGTTTTATTTTATTTTTGTCATTAGTTTTATCGACGGTGCATATAGTTTTAAGGTCAGTTACCTAAAATGAAAAGTCATCTACAAAACGACGATAAACTACATCGGGCAGCAAGGCCTCTGATCGGGAGATTGGCAGATTTGAGGAACATAGAACCACCTCTTAACTGCTGTCTTTCTCACGTTAAACCCTGACCCAGGGTGCTAGCCTTTTGTCAGGGTCCCAGCTATTGACAAATAGTGAACCTGTAGAGTAGGCGGAGGAGAACAGCATCAAATCAAAGGAGCAAATAACACAATTAAACACACTGCGCAACATTTCCGCGCAAGCTACCGGGTTTCAAACATACTTCAAATTTTTAATTTAATAAAAACAAAGAGCCAAGAAAATCAGCTTCCCTCAGTAAACACAGACCTCAGGAGTCTACATAAGGCCATAAAAACCAAACATTCATTCAACTCGGCAGAACACTGATAGCAGTAAAGAGACACAAGTCAACCTCGTCGTCTTGTCTTTCTCATCAAAGCAACAGCGAACTCCCTTTGATCTTGTCTCTCCACTTTCTCTCTTCCTCATTGAAAGACTATTCATGTTCATTTTAAAAAGAAAAAAACATTGTAACTTTCATTTCATGTATACTATTTACAATATTC